TGTGAGTCTCTGTGTGTGGTGTGTGAGTCTCTGTGTGTGGTGTGTCTCTGTGTGTGGTGTGAGAGTCTCTGTGTGTGGTATGAGAGTCTCTGTGTGTGGTGCGAGAGTCTCTGTGTGTGGTGTGTGTCTCTGTGTGTGTTGTGTCTCTGTGTGTGGTGTGAGAGTCTCTATGTGTGTGTTGTGTGTCTGTGTGTGGTGTGAGTCTCTGTGTGTGGTGTGTGTCTCTGTGTGTGGTGTGAGTGTCTCTGTGTGTGGTGTGTGTCTGTGTGTGGTGTGAGAGTCTCTGTGTGTGGTGTGTATCTGTGTGTGGTGTGAGAGTCTCTGTGTGTGTTGTGTCTCTGTGTGTTGTGTGTGTCTCTGGTGTGGCGTGTGAGTCTCTGCGTACGTGTGAGTGTGTGGCGTGGCTGGGGTTCCCCACTGCAGTCTGGGTAGAGGTGCCAGAGTGCTTCAGAGTGTGTAAAGAGCTGTGTGGGACTTGGGAGGGAGCAGAGCTGGGGGTCAGAAGGAGGTAGAGATGGGGTGCAGGGAGGAGGGGGCGTCCCCACACAGGCTTAGGAGCAGCTTGCTTTTTGCACAGAAGAACTGGGTACAGGCCAGAGGCAGGCGTGGAGTGGGAGGATTCCCCGGAGTCAGAGGGGGGCGCAGAACAGGCAGATAGATGAAGTACACTGCTGAGGGGGACAGCGGGGAGCCCCGAGGGGTCTGCTGCACCCTGGGGGTCACTTCCTGGCCGGGATCGAACTCGGGCCATCGTGGTGAAGTGCTGAATCTCTGTGAGTGTGTGTGTGGCGCGTGAGTCTGTGTGTGAGTGTGAGTGTGTCTCTGTGAGTGTCACTCCGCTCGTGTAAGTGTGACAGGCTCTGTCACAGGCTCTGTGTCTCTCTGACCGGGGGGTTGCTTCCCTGGTGAACTGCTCCGTGTTCCCGGCTCTCAGCTGGGTGTTTGTGTCCTGTGGAAGGCAGTGGGTGAAGGGCCCGTGGAGGCAGACTTTCTAGAAGTCCTTTCTCAGCAGCAAAGGACTGGGCGCGTGTCGGTCTTTCCGAAGGGGGTGTCCTGGCCCAGAGCACCACTCGGGAATGGGCGCCCCCTGTGCTAACACCACTGAGGGGTATCCAGGCACCCCAAACTGTGAAGTGCATGCTCTGAAAGGGATTTGGCCATTCACGCGCACTCAAACCTCTTGGCTGATAGGGTGGTTTGCTACAGCTGCCGTAAAAAGTTTCCCAAACTGGGTGTCTTTTTTAAAAACACAGGTATGTATTTTTAAAAGATTTATTGATGCACACAGAACTGGGGCACAGGCCAGAGGTGCAGGGGTGATGGGAGGAGCCACCAGAGAGAGAGTGGGGAGCAGAACAGGCAGATCGGCGAAGTGCACCGCTGAGGGGAGACAGGAGAGGCTGACCCCTGCGGGCCCCTGGCTGGGGGTCGCACGTGTGTTGAGGCGCCGTGGCCAGCTGTGCTTTAACCACTGAGCCACCAGGGCGGCCCAGACTGGGCGTGTTAACAGACACCTGTCACCTCTGTCTGGGGCTGGAAGTTCCGCAGAGCGCAGAGGGCTGGCGCTGGCCTGGGAGGGAGCCGCCGTGTCCCCTGTCTCCTGCTGGCTCTCCGGCGTCCCTGGCTCGGTGGCCTGTGGCTGACGTGACCCCACCCTGGTCTCCACAGGGCGCTCCTGCTGTGTGCAAATCCATCCCCTATGAGGACACAGTTGTGGGGGGCTGGGTCTACTCTCTGCCAGAATCTAAACTAACAGCGTTAACAACACCCCCATTACAAAATAGGGACAGGGGTGAGGACTCCCCATAAGGTCTGAGCGACCCCAATCAACCCATGACACGTGGTGCAGGTTCAGGTCCCCCCCAGGACCCACTGAGAGAAATCCTCCTTGTATCCACCCTCCCTGGGGCCGCTCCTGGGCATGGCCATGGCTCATCACCTGCCTCAGGTGAGGGATTCGCCCCCCCCCCCCGGGGACAGTGCTCGTGGTGGGGGGAGGGGGGTGCTGGTGCTTGTGTGAGGAGCCGGGAGAGCTAGGCCTGGGTGTGACGCACACACCGGAGCCCTTCGGGCCTGAGCGCCAGCGGACTGCTGAGCGCCCCGGGCAAGAACACCCCCTTCATCCCGCACCTTCGCCAGGTACCTCCTTGATAATTTTCATCCATTAGAGGCTCCACATTTTCAATACCAATCAAGGCTCCGGGAGACAACTTAAATATTCCTGACAGCTAATCACATTAAAATCAGCAGCCCGCTCCTCTTCAGGGCAGGGGCTGAGCCTGCTGGCACTTCCCCCTGCAGCTGAGGGCACCAGAGAGGACCTGGTGCTTGGTGCTATCTGGATCTGGGCGCAGAGCCAGGGTGGGCGTGGGGTTCAGGGACACCCCGGCCCCACCCATCTTCTGCACAGGAAGTGCGGGCTGGGACCCAAGCCCCTGCTGCCTCTCTGATCTCTGAGGTTATTATTTGCAGGGGAGAATATCTATCTCCCGGAAACAGTTCTACTTTGCTTATCCAAAGTCTAAACAGCGGCTCCCATTCTGAAGACAGCAGGTTTTGGGGACAGGGGAGCATTGTAAGCACTGGGGAAGATATTTTGGGGATCGTCTTAAGATATTTTATTTAAGCTTACAGAACTAGGGGCCAGATGCACAGGGGCGGTGAGAGGCTTCCCCAGAGACAGAGTGGGGAGCAGAACAGGCTGATGGACAGAGCACACTGTTGAGGGGAGCAGCGGGCGGGTCAGGAGGGGTCTGCCAAGCCCTGGGGGTCAACTCCCGCCCTGGGGTCAGCTCCCGCCCTGGGGGTCAGCTCCCGCCCTGGGGGTCAGCTCCCGCCCTGTGGGTCAGCTCCCTCGCTGGGGGTCAGCTCCCTTCCTGGGGGTCAGCTCCC